CTCCTTGTTCTGCATCTGTCAACACTGAGAACAGTCTAGCTCCATCTTCTTTGCAACCCCTCCTTCAGGGAGTTGAAGGCTGCTATTAAATCCCCTCTTAGTCTTCTCTTCCTCTAGACTAAATAAGCCCAGTTCCCTCAGCCTCTTCTCATAAACCATGTGCCCCAGCCCCCTAACCACTTTTGTTGCCCTCTGCTGGACTCTCTCCAATTTGTCCACATCCTTTCTGTAGTGGGGGGTCCAAAACTGGACACAGTTCTCCAGATGTGGACTCACCAGTGCTGAATAGAGAGGAATAATCACTTCCCTTGACCTGCTGGCAACACCTCTACCAATGCAGCCTGGTATGCCATTAGCCTTCTTGGCAACAAGGGCACACTGCTGGCTCATGTTCAGCTTGCTGTTGACCATAACCCCCAGATCCTTTTCTGCAGAAGTGTACAATAAAACCACTTATTTGCCCACTTGCTGCACGTAGGCACAGCTGCACATGGCTTTCACTGTTTTGCTTCACCTTTACCTACCCACGGTCACTCTTTTCTTGTGTTGGGAGGAGGGATTAGTTCTCACCTTTTTCCTATCCAGTTCTGCAAGCAAGGGATTTCCCACCTCCAAAAAGCATTGCCCCTTTCTTTATAGAGACTGCAACTAGCAGCAAGAGATGCTGCTGAGTTTCTAATCCATGCTGTTCTGTACAGAATCATTTCCATGAGAGATACTGAAAAGTGATCCCTTACAATTCACGGTTAAGTGAACTGCAAAAGTTGCTCATCACACCAGCTACAGTTGATGTTAATGAAGAGTTCCTGCAGCAAGCCGCTGGTTCCCACCTTGCAGGAATGTTACCGTGGAAGGTGCATGGCAGCACTGCCACTCCTGTAGGCAGCGCGGCTGGCGAGTTAGACCTGGATCTCCTATTTCCCACATGGGGAGACATTACTATTTTTGTGATGTGCATCCATCTATGTTTTCAAGCATCCCTAGTTTTTATGCCTAGAGTGACTGGAGCATAGTGCAGATATATCCCCTGCTAGCTTGGGAACCAGTAGTAGCCAGGGGGAACATTTTTGCATGCCTGAAAACCCACCTAATAAGGATGGTTAATACTTGGACAATTAGTCTATACTATACTGCTGCAGCAAGAAATACTCAAGTGAGACAGTTTAACTAGCATGGGTAGGTCTACACTTCTCTGCAATCATAGGCTAGGCATAGACGTTCAAAAAGCTTGAGGTGGAATCAATCAAACTTACGCAGGTTTCTGTACGTGGTGTAGGTTAGTTTGGGAGTGAACACACAGTATAGGGGAGGGAGGGCAGGCAGGCTGCCTGCACTGCCCGAGGCCAGGAGGTTGGAGGTGCCCTGCATGCCTCCCAGCATGCCCTGCAAGTTCCCTGGGCTGCTGGAGGCTGCTAAGAGCAGCCCAGCATGTGGACCACCCCTGACTGGCTGCAGGGCACAGGTGAGCACACCTCTTCCCACGGTTGGCATCTGTCAAACCACAGGCAGGCAGCGGAGGCTACTGTGCTTGTCCATCCCCTGCAGATGGGTCTGCTCCATAGTGCTACGCCTGCTCATGGGGGCATGGGTCCCTGGGTGGACTCCTGCATCCCCACCCAGGGTCTCCCATGTCCCCTGCAAGTGGGCACAGATCCAGGGAGCCGGACCAAGCTGCAAGACATAGTGGAGCTCCCCTACCCCATCGCCCTCCTCCTCTGTAGCATCAGTCACAGGCATCTGCAGCTGGGTCTGCTCCATGGCACTGCACCTGCTCGTGGAGGCTCATGGGTCCCTGGGTGGGCTCCCACACCCCGACCTGGGAACCCCCATGCCCCCCACAAGTGGGTGCAGGCCAGGGAGCCTGACCAAGTTGCAGGGCCCCTTCTCCCTCTCCATTGTCAGCCACTGTGCTGACTCTGCTCTGTAAGAGCCCAGGGGCAAGGCCAGCTGGGCACTCAGCCAGAGTAGCTGATCATGGGCCAATGCTAGCACACCTACCTGCAAGGTGGGGGGGGGGGGGGAGCCTCAAAGGCACCTGGGATGCCAGCAGACAGTGACTTAACATGATTTGATAAGGAATCTGGTACCGAAGTTCAATGCACCAAACTAACCTAATTCGAATACGATTGAGTGCACATTGATCTAGGACTCTCTCTGACCAGGTTCTGCTATTTTTACACCTGACTAGACCCGAACTTCTGTACAGTTATGGGTTTGGTTCCATTTCCAATCACTTACTCTGGATTATGTGTAAAGTCTGTACCTAGCCATAATGAATGTCCCAGAGACGCACCCAATGACACGGTGCAACTAACCCCCCTCAGTGGTAAATAATATAATTGGACTGTTTGCACTAATATCCTAGCAGTATAGGCCCCAAGCATTCAGCACATCCATATATTCAACCAGTTGAATGACCCTCCCTGCAGGACTACATCGTTGAAAACAACCATGGTTCTGCAGCAGAGGGAAGGGGTTGAGTTGTTTGCTGCAATACTGTCAATAGGGTCTGTGCATGGCAGGGATTCACTCAAGTTCAGGAAGCAGTGGAAGAAGAAGTTCCTATCTGACTGCATGCAAACTAACAGTGCGACTTGGTCAGAGAGACCGTCCAGACACAGGTCCCCTCGGTATTGTTTTTCCATTTTGTTTACACGAGCCATTTTCATATGCGCTTAGAGACACTTGGAGCCTGCCAAAGTCCCTCTGTGACTGTGATAAATGATTGCTAGAGAACGCAGCCAAAGCACACGCAACCCCAGCTAGATGCTGCCACCAATGTTCTCCTTTCCTTACAAGATTGTGAACAAAAGCCAGAATGATGTAGCAGAGGGCTAAGGGGAGAAGGGACACAAGCACACTGCATCTGACAAGCTGAAAGCATGCTGAACCCCAGACAGCTGTTTGTTTTTCTGTCTGAATCCTCAAAAGGGGAAAAAAAAACAGCTTAAAAGCGCATCCCCACGTAAGCTATGACAAACTTAGTAACACACTGGCATGGAAAATGCTTGATGGGAAGCAAAGGACAAACCAAATGAGTAGAATCAGGATGGAAATTATGAGTAAAAAACCCCAGAGGGCATATATGGGAAATATAATACCTCGGTTGCAATGGTCCAATTACTATAGATCAGTGGGGGACCAACCTTTCTGGCAGGTGTGTCACAAATCAAGCCCATGTCCTCTCCAAGTGACACCCCAATCCCCCTTCCCCTGCCTGCTCTGTTGCTCTGCTTTCAGCTCCCTGCCCTGTGCTCCCTGTCTGATCTGCTACTCTGCTTTTGGCTCCTTGCCCTACCTGCCACTGTGCTGTCTTCCCTCTCCCGGATCTGCTGCATGCCGCACACAGGCTGCCTGGGCCAGCTGTAGCGTGTGTGCTGCAGGTTAGCTTTCCCTGCAGTCACAGAGACACAAAGACGGCCTCACCTCTGCGTCTTCTCTGCCACTGTCTAGGATGCTCCCCACTGGGTTTGAGGAGCACTGACACACACATATATACCTGCAACATTTGACACACTAAACTATGCAGCAGCACAATGTGAGATGGGGCAATAAACAGCCAGGTTTACTGTAGCTTAACAGCTATGAAATTCAGATTCAAATTGCAGTAAATGCTATCCTTGAGAAGCCCAACTGCTCCACTGGGATCTTAAGTTGGAAGCACCAGTGAGCAGCGTTTGTCTTCCTTAAGTGTTTGGAAAGTATCTAGCAATTTGGGGTGCTACTGAAAAACAAAACCAAATGCCTCTAGGGAGAGAGACTCTCTGCATCTTTAAGGTCCAGTGGCATCTTATCCCTTCCTTCCCCAAAGAGGGAGGTTTCACTCCGCAACCTCAAGTGTGCTATATAGATTTTCTGTTGTAATTTTCATTTGTATAAACAGCAGTATCCACTATAATGCGTGAAGGCAAATGCTTTCTTTTCGGTAATAAACACTGTTGGTTGATATAATGAAAAACAAGCAAGCTAGTTGCAAAATACTTCCGTGCTGAAAGCATCTCATCACAAGATTTCTTTCACCCAAGGCTGAGACACTGCTTGAGTCTCAAATCTCTGGTGTATACAGCCTGCGAGAAAAATGCTACCATCTTGGCCACCCACCTTGTAGTGCACCGCCATCTGCAGGTACCAGCACTACCACAGGTTAGCTCCTCACCGCCCTGCCTGCCTTTTGTGCAGATTCTTTTATTTGTCTGTTCAGCTACAGCAGAGATGCTTTGAGGGCAAGCATGTGTGGGCCTCAGTTACAACAATAAGCTCTCTTGGGTTCTGCAGTGTGAATAAACTCTGCCTGGCCACCACTCGTCGTTCTAGATGACAGGTCACGCTACTGATATTGTTACCTTGATTTACAGAGTTAGTGTGTGTATGGGAGGCGCTGACCTCATGGTTATTGTACTAAAAGGTCTCATTCATGTATGTGAATAGAAGACAGGCTCTGTATTGTGGGAGAGACTCTGATTTTGCGAGCTGCTTTTAAACCTAGTGAAAGATGTACTCTATTTTCACGGCATATTGAATTTAGCTGTGATTAATGGGGCCCATATACACTGATAAACAATATTAATTTGTTTTAAGCCAGGTCTGAAAAGATTTCCACCACTTGTTTCCCCACAGCAGGGAGAGTTATTTTCTGCTGTCCACAAGACCTCAAGGGCTCAGCCCAGCCCTGAAAAGAGGGAGATATTTCCTCTCTGCCCACTGTCGGCACTGTCCAGGCAAGGTCACTTTGTCCATGCTTCATTCATCATGTGCAAGTACCAAGTATTATTATTATTTATCCTTACCAGACATCCTCTTCATCAAACCATCACAGTGCTGCTACCCCACGCTCACTTCCTTTGGTGCCTTCCAATCCTTATTCGTATCTGCCCACCCCAGCCACCAAATGATGTGCAGGGTCCCCAGTTAACTTGGCTGGGGGTATTATCAGTTTGAACGGCAACACTGTGACGACAAAGGGGAAAGAGACTCTTCGTGACTAGAAACCAGAAATGCACCTGCAATTTCTTGCGGCGAATGCAAGCTTCCAACCCCCTCAGGGTTATCAGAGATGGAGCCTCCTCCTTCCAGCACCCTGACCAGCTCCCTCAGCCTCTCACACTCCTCCTGGAGTTGTTGCTGCTCTTCTTTCCGCTGCTGCTTGGCCAGGCTTGCTGGGTTCATACTGAAGTGAAGGACTTTGGTTTTACTGGGGTCGTAGTCACCCTGCAAAAACACAAAGAAAATAAGTACAGCGTGGACCTATGAAATGCTCCATGCACCATCCATCCACTACACGGAGGGAGAAAGCATAAAAAAACAACACACACGTGGAAGCTACATGCTTAAGCAGTGGTAATGTTTCAATTCTGAGAATGAAAAGCAGCCAAAGCAGGGGCTGCTTTTCTTCCCTAAAAGCAACAGATGTGCCCCCTGGGTGACACCTCTATTGTTAAATTTAACTCCAGGAATGAAGTTTTATGGTTCATTTTTAAATCCCCTGATAGCAGGAGATTATAATGAACATGCCGAGGCAGCCTTACACTACAGCAGGACACAGAGCACTAGCCTAATTTATTACAAGTACAATTCTACGATGTCCACAGGAGTCCAGCGCAGGAATCATTATCAAGTTTTATCAGCCTGTCCCAAGGAAGCGAAGAGACGTTTCATTTTATACTTCTCTTACAGGTGAATTATATTTATAGTAGTTTAACTGGTAGGCCAAACTCTAAAACAAGAGATTAATATCCTTTCAGCAGGGAAAGGATTTCAACAAGGAAAATATTGATATTGTGGTTTCAAAGGCACAGTCTTCACATGCACTGGAGAGTCTCAAAACCTTAAAAAAAAAAAAAAAAAAAATCAACATCTCTGCTCATCCTGATTTCCAGTACACCTTGGCCAGGTGAAACCTAAAGTGATTTTGCAAATGTTAATTAACCCTCAACACCAGCATTATTATTCCAATGTCATTTCTTACTTAGCATTAAATGTGTGTTAATTTTTTTAACATTTCACGGACTGGCAAACTGAGGCTCAGAGAGGCTGGGTCAACAGGTTTTTGATTAAGCTAGAAAGGGAACCCAGGAGACCTGCTTCTCAATTAAATATCTAATCACCAAACCCATTCCCTACTATGGATCCCTTTATTTATGGGTTTTTTGACCTATGCTGTGTTAGCAGGAAACAGAGGTGGCTACTGCATGCTTTATTTACAGGCAAAAGGCCATTACAGGACAACAGCAGGTAAAAGGACCATTTAACCCAACACCATGCTGCCTGATACCTCTCTGACACCTCTGCTATTTATATTCCATCTTTGATCTCACATCCACTCCCCTAGGAAAAACCATCAAGCAAAAGGCAATGTCCTGCCCCCATTCTCTTCCGGGAGACGAATTTCAGTGAAAAAACCAGAAACGTAAAAATGTAATATCCTGGGGCTGTTTCAGAGCCCTCCAGTGGCTCAGACCACTACTCGGTTTCCTTGTTTTAACAAGACCGACTCCCCAGGGATGTGTAAGTGCCCACGTTCAGCACCACTGCTCGGGGGGCAGGTGCTCTCCCCACCTCGGAAGGGAAAGGACCGGCAGCTCCAACTATTCTGTTCGGCAGCTCCCCTCCCCTTCCAGAAACCAGCCTGCAGCGTCCCTTTTAGTGTCCAGACACAACACCACCCAGGTAGCTGGCTCTGCAAGAGGATGAGATGCACCCAATGCAGCAAGTTGCCCAGGAAGCTGGCAAGGGAAGAAGCTGTTCAGAGTGGAGGGGAGGAAGAGAGTGAAGAGGAAAAGTATTTCAAGTCAGGCAAGGCTTTGGGGATGAATGCTGATCAATGCTAGGTTATTCCCAACCCCCACACATTGCTCAGAGGAGGAAAGAGCCTGTAACACTCTACACAATGCACACACACATGGCCCTCCACCAGCTGGAAGTCCAGAACGCCAACTGTGACAATCTGGGGAAGCAGCCTGTGCACAACTTGCACGGCCTGGTTTCTGCTGGGAAACTGTTGCATTGTGTAATGCACTGAGGCATGGGGAATACACAGACAGCACTGTCCAGGGAGAACAGAGTTGTGCTCAGAGTTGTCACGCGAGCGCCTTCAAACAACAGGAATGCTAAGGAGGATGCTCTTGTTGTACAGTGAGCATAACCCAGTCTATCACCTTGGGAGAAGAATTGGGGCAGAGGAACAAAAGCTCAATGAATGGGAAGATAGTGGTGGGACCAAAGAACCTCATGTGACTCAAAGTAGGACAGGCAGCTTTGGGGCAGGAGAGAGAGGACTGTGCTTTCATGGCTGGGGATCTGCTTATGCTCCAAAACCAGCCAAGGAGCCACAGATGATGCCGATAAACCCAACAAACTCTTCAGTGTTGTGAGGAAACCGAGGCAAAAGAAACACACGTGAGCATCGTTATTTTGTCAAGAACTGTGCACTACTTGTCCTATTTAGGTAAAGGGTAAGTTGTTTTACATCCTATGCAAAGTATGTTTGTGTTGTGTGCTGCATCACTCACATAGGCTGAGAGTTCAACCTTAAACCCATCAAGTCTCATCGTGGGCAGTCCTGGGAGAGGACTGATGAGCCAGGGTGGGGGTTAGTGTTAGCTCTGACAACGTCAAGCACTGGGCTTCACAGTCCTCTTCCTGTGCAGGAGTAGCAGACACTGAGCCAATAGATGCCAACAAAAGTAACATCACAGCAGCCTGTTTCAGGCTGCAGGAAGCTTAGCAGCACAAAAGGCCAGTGGGCTGCAACCCATCACAACAGCCTAGGGAGTGTGCAGCAAAATAAACTGGAACAGGGCTGCCGCACCAGCTCATTAGACATTTCCTGGCGAGCAAACCACACACTGGTATCTAAAGCCGTGGACTGGTCCTCATACAGCCGCCCAGCTGGGATTGTATGCTGTCTTTGGGTAAAGGACTCTCCCTGCCCTCGCCCGGTACAAAGGCAGGCTACCAAGCAGGGGCGGGGGCTCTGTCTCTCCCATGCTCCTAGTCTCTCAGCTCGCTAGGCTTCCTTTTCACAGGAAGAAGGTTCAAAAGCACAGTTAACAACCGTGTTTAGGTGGCCTGGTGATAAGGAGCGCTTAAAGCTCGAGTCGCTGGTACTCCTTTGCCCCATACGTTGTCACTCCGTGGCTGTGCTTAGGCAATACAAGGTGTGATTCTTGTTCTGCTTCTTGGGGCTAGCTCCTTGCTAGGAGGGTTTGGGGGCGTAGGGATCCTGGAGCACTATATCGATAAAACCCTTGTGCTGCGGGTGCGGTCATAGATTCATAGATGTTAGGGTCGGAAGGGACCTCAATAGATCATCGAGTCCGACCCCCTGCATAGGCAGGAAAATATGACAAAACATAAAGAAGGAAAAGTAATTACGGATCAAACAGCATCCTTTGCCTAGCCATGGCAGGTTTTGCAACTCCAAATCTACATCAAAATTATAACTGCCTAAATAATCAGACTGCTACAAGTCTTCTTTCATTTAAAAGAAAAATGGAAGGAAATTCAGTGACAACTTGGTTACTACAGAGTTAAAGTTGCCCGCTGGCATCAAACCTCTGGCAAAATGTTGAGTTTGGCAAAGCTCAAACTTCATACCAATACAGTAAAACCATTCCCTGAGTGGAATAAGCTGTACCGGGGAAGTGTCGTTTTGCTTATATAACTGTGTCTGTGCTGGGGGCTTTTGCCGGCACAGTTGTGTCAGTCGGGGATCACACCCCCTGACTGACATAACTGTGCTACCAGAAGTCCATAGCGTAGACACAGCCTATGATTTTATGCAGTCCCGATAAGTGCAGAAGCTGAGCGACTTAACCCGGGCTCTCATACATAATGGGCAGATACTGGATATTGCACTGAATTTCAGTATGAGAGGAAAATGGTACAAAGCTGGAGAATACTGACACCTTCCCTACTGAGATCACTTTGACCCACTCGTCACTGGCTCGTTCACTCCAATTTCTTGTGGCAATATGCTCCAGCTTTTCTACAGGGCGCTGCCATAAAACTGCAGGACTGACTCCTATCTCTCTCCCAGCCTATTATATTCTTCCTTTCTACACCACCACCCCACCTTGCTAGAGCAAGCTCTGAAAAGGAGCACAGACAAGGCAATACCAGGATACACTCCCAGGCTTGGGGCCCACCAGCAAGCCTGAGCATTGGAGGATTTCTTAGTCTGATGCTACACCCCATTTACAGACAGGCAAACAACTTAGAAACCCACTGTGATATGAAGACGGTATCTTTACCCCTTGACAGAATCCATGTAAAAATATGTAGATTCCACTGTAGTCATACCCTGAAAGTGGGATTGGGTCTGCATTCTGCTAGAGGCTATACCATAGGAGATAAATCTCTTCCCTAAACAGTTTATAAACTACATAGACAAGACAGACTAGAACAGGTAGAGAAACAAAAGCACAGGCTGATGAGCCCAAAGTCTCATGGCAGGGAATGCAGGTCTCCTGAGTCTAACCACCAAACCACATTTCCTCTCTGAAAATGAATGATGTATAAGCCCCCTATACAGTACCACTTGGGGGCATGCAACGTTACAAGGGTTTCAGATAAATGGGGAGCACAGTGTACAATGGAGATGATGCATCTGGAAAGGCATCGCAGCTTTGGAAAACTGGCGTGTGCGCATTAGCCAGCAAAAAATGCTGCCATGACTTTACCTTGATTTTTTTTCTAAACTTCAGAAGGCCAGAAGTAAACTGAGCTGGCTTTAGGTACAGACCCACGTGATTACCAGTGATGCTGGACTGCAAGGAAGCATCAACAGTCCAGTACTGCTTAGGGGAAAACTGAGCCCTCATGCTGGTGAGAAGGCACACGATCTTCTCCTGGATCGTTGCAGATCTACAGTATGCACAATCCCCTCAGGCAATGCATCATCCTTGTTACTAAACCATGGATTTTTTTTTTTTTAATTCAGAAAAGGGGGATTCAACAACATGTGCTTATGTGTTTGTTAAGACTGCATGAATGGCAAACCGCGAGACTGCATGAATGTTTCTTCAAACAAGAACCCAGAATCCCAAGCAGCTGCTCAGGATGTTACTTCAATTCTGCACCTTAGTAAAGTAAGAGGCATCTCCTCCCCAGCAGCGAAAGTGCTGCAGTTTGATGTGAAGCATGTTTCGTGGCCTTCACAAAACTGTAAGACGCCTGTTTTTAAGGGATGGCAACCTGGGCCTTACACG